CTTCCTTCCTTCCTTCCTTCCTTCCTTCCTTCCTTCCTTCCTTCCTTCCCACACACAGAGGCATAGGAAGGTGCCTTATTCAAGGTCAAATTGTTGGCCTATCTAGCTCATTACTACCAACAGCAGAGGGTGACAATTCGGTGCACTCCACATATTTTGAAGTCCAACACCCATCAGCCTCTATCAGCATGGCCAACAGCAAAGGCAGCTATGATCCAAAACATCTGGAGGGTGCCAAGTGGCTTACTGCTAGTTTACTTTGTCTGGCAGCAGCAGCTCACCAAGATTACTGGCAGAAATCCTTCCCAGGATTACCTGGGATTCCAGGGACTTCTTTTTTCCATGCCTTGTTAAATCTTATGAGAGACGTTAAACAGAAATCTTGAATGAACCTCTACAATCCAGGCATGCATTGATTTATTGAATGGAAGAACGAGTGATGACCAGTGAAGAGTCCCAATTCACTAATAGCAGTGGAAATCATGTAACCTGAATTTCAGGAAGGATGTGGTGTCTGTAGTGGGCTTAAGAGATTTTTCCATTCTCAGGCTGAAAAGATTATTGCAAAGAATTGCCTGGTTTGGTTACATTCAAAACACTTTGAATAATTTCAGGCTCTAGATAAGTAAAAAGAAAGTCCTCAGGGATATGCTTTTAGTGTAGAGATGAGATAGGGATCCTGAAAAAAATGCCGGGGGCTTTATAGGTTGGTTAAATTTAGACAGTATAGTCTGAATATACTCTGATCAAGTGTTAATTACTATGAGCATGCTAGCTCATTTAGATTAAGCTGGGATTCTCTAAAAAAACCTGTCTTGCCATGATTGATGAACCTTCCTAGTATGTGGTTTTCATACTAGAGTCAGTAACCAAAGCACATAGAACTGTTATACATTCCTGCAGGGTGAGTTTACCATACTTATCCATTTAAAAAATGTTTTCATAGATATGGCATTTAGGCGTACTAAATACACCATATTAAGCACCTCGGAATCAGAAATATGGCAGAAATAAATAGAAAACTTGAGATAATTTTTATAAAACATTTACTACATAATTTACATAATAAAATAGACAAAAATGTCACAGTAGTAAGAAGATAAACATAACAAAGCTTTCTAAGGATTCTGAAGCAGCATGTGATTATTTTTTTCCTTTGAGTAAATTGGTGGGTTTTTCTCATGAAAAAAGAAATCAGTATGACGACAGACTTTTGTTATCCTGAAATCTCTCCACATTGTCCCTCAAGTTATATGCTACATTTTCATCCAATTGTAAGTAATGGGTAGCTTGAAAAATGCCTCTGATTACCTCTTAACAAGCAACATTCTTTGAAGTTTAGCTTATTCCTTTTTAGTCACTATTTTAAAAGTGTATTTTTCCTAAATTCCAGAACAAGATTTCCGAAACTAATATTTTGAGTTTCCTCCCTCCCTCCCTTACTCCCACCCAATAAAAACCCTAATTATAAACTAATTTAATTATTTTAAATATTTTATTTTATTTTAATTATTTTAAATACTGTGTAATTACATATATTAATTAAATCATATTAGATTTCATACATATTTCTATTGTAAGCATTCATTATTCAAATTAATTGACAATTATTTGTACTGGTATATAATTCACACATGCTTAAAGTAAATCAAGTGGTTATATCTCACACTGGAGGCTTTTTATTAATCCAGATATATCAAAAATAGACAATTTTACCTGTTTGTGTTAAGTTTCAACACAATGATCCTCTTTGGCCATTGCCTTATTGGTGGGATGTCTTGTTTTGTTATAACCAACTGCTCTGCTAGCAGCTGTTAGCAAGTTAATATCATTCATTGACTACCTGGCTTTTTATATCACCCAAGCCAACAATGAATAGATCACATCAAAATATTTCACTAATATTTTCTATTATTATTTCCTCATAGAACTTAAAACACATTCTCACTTAAATATCCATCATCTGTACATGGATATATACCACCCAAACTTTACTGAGTCCTTTAAGTCAAATAGATTGGATGTTGATACTATTTCATACTATGCTAATAGTACTACTTTTGAGACTACTTAAAAAATAAGTTGATAAAAAATGTTCTTTAGATTTAAACATGTGATTTATAAGAGAGCATACTTATAAATATTTACTGAAAGCCAGTTTGGTGTAGCAGCTAAGGTGCCAGGCTAGAAACCAGGAGACCGTGAGTTCTAGTCCCATCTTAGATGTGAAGCCAACTAGGTGACTTTGGGCCAGTCATCCTCTCTTGGCCCTAGGAAGAAGGCAATGGTGAAACACTTCCAGAACCTTGTCAAGAAAACTTATAGGCACTAGTCCATGAAGTTGCCAAGAGTCAAGACTGACTGGAAGGCAGGCACCGAAACAACAACAAAAACCCTTTTCTCCTAGTTATATTTCTAAGACTTCACTGAAATCAGCATAAATGAATTTCCCATTTTTGTGGATAGGTCTATAATGTTTGTTTTGTTCTTTAAATAATGTATAAACTTTCCTTAATAAACCTCTCCTTATTTAGGTGACACTAGCTCACTAACTTTCAAATACTTCTTTAGAACTGTATGTTAAAATATTACTAATTAACAGCATGTCTGCCCTTAAAATATTGATAACAATTGCAATCTGCATCCATTATTTTGTGTTTGCTATTTCATGTTATATCGTATCCCCAATTCTGTTATTATTTCCTGCACTTGGTGGAAAAATAGTTTCCAACCTTTCCCAATTTGCACTCTTACAGCATGAGCATTTATGAAGACCCTGGACATCATTCCACACATCTAGAAGGCTCCCAGACTGGGGAAAGCTTATCTATCCTCTGTTAAAAAATATTGCATATATTGATATTAATCCTGTGGACTAATTTCATTATTAGCTGTTTAGAATTCTATTTACTTCCATGATTGTTCCTTGTCACATTCATTCATTTCAGTGTTGCAAGCACAAAGACTCACAATATGATTTTAATAAGCTAAACAGATTCCTCTCTGACTTCATTCTGATCTAATCCATTGGTTTTTTTTTCCATAGTGAAATAAGACCTGAGTGAAAAATGCAGGAACAACAAATCCTAAATTTCAATCAAGCTTAAAGTAAGGATAATAGAGTAACAGTTTCATGTTTTCTCTTTCCTCTATGAAATGTAAGTAGCAATTCACTTAAATCCATAGTTTAGTTATATTTATGACAACTGTTAAGATTGCAGGAATCTTATAACTGAAAATCTGCCCAAGATGTCAAAGTAAGAATGCATTAAAAACATGATATCCTTACAGAGTGATGCACAAGTAAAGTCAAAGGCAGACGAGAGTAAGAACTTGCACAACCTTTCTGCTGACAAGAAATTTATTAGTGACCCAGAGGCACCAGCAGGTTACTCACTTCCATCAAAGCGAGCATGCCATAGGCCCAAGAGCAGCAGGGTATGGGGTATTCTGTTTCCATCCATTGTAAGTCCCAGGTCAGCAGCAGGAAGGACCCGACATCTTTCAACCTTGGGAATGTTCAAGCACCATTCTGGCATCCTTCAGGTATCCTTCCCACCAGGCAACACTAGGCAACCTGTGTTGCCAGTTACAGGCAAGGTATCTGCTCTGAAGCACAGTAAAATTCCTGTGCAATTATTGATTCGTCAGGCAGCAAGCAGCATGTGATCCAAAGGCATCAGACACAATGAGTACTGTCATGCAGATGATGGCTTTGCATGACTAGACAGATTCTGAAACTTCCTCCCTGTAGTTTCCTTGATAACCAGATCCTCTGACATGCCACCTTCAGCAGACAAGTAGTGCAAGGAGGAGGCATCAGAAAGTGAGAGTAGCAGGCCCTGACACTGATGTCTACTTCACCTCAAACATTTAGTTCAGTCCAGGTAGTGTGCACTATTCTCCCCGTCACTAGCACTTCCCAAGATGCAGGACCCAGGCACAGTTTACTGCTAATTCGCGCTGAGGTGCAGGTGACTACTGCAGATGAGGTGAACACAGCCAAGATCTGCAAGGTTGAGGGCTGTCTCTCTGGGCAACCAAATCTGTGTTACTCATAGACTTCAACTGATTGTGCAGGAAGGTCTTGGTTTGGAAGGGGGCAGCACCAGGATCATCTGCAGTGGCACTGAGGTTGCCACCAACACTTTTACAGATAAGTGCCATAAGATTGCTGACTATCTCCACTGGAGTATAAAGGGGAGGTGTATGCTAAACCAATGCCAGGTCAAGTACCACATATCCCTGTACTCTGAAATACAATATAATAAAGTTATTAAAAAAAAAAGTACCACATATCCAACACCTGATCTTTCTGGAAATTGCAATCCCCACTCCTGTGGAATTTTGCCAACCTGCTCAAGTAGCTGGCTGTGCATGACATACAATGTATGATTTTCAGTAGAGGAGACTTATTGCCAAGCTGGTTTCTTGGGCCATTCTTTGTGATAAACTTCTTAACTGCAGTGACAGTCATGTTGAACTAGGTTTTGCTCTTGGTTCTTTTTTCAAGAAAAGTTCTGGGGTTAATTCCAACAGAAACTGAGCTCCAAGGATGGCAGAACCTCAGCAGGCTGACTTCACACAGTGGCTAAAATACTTGGGTCCCAACCCACCACTTTATAGAATTTTAAAGTTGGAAGGGATTGCAAGACTCATCTAGTCCAACCTTTTGCAAAGTGCAGAAAAAACAATCTATGAGAGAATGTTTAAGTCTTGCCTCTTAAAAATCTCCTGAGATGAAAAAGCCACAACCTCCACAGCTACACTGTTCTGCTGTTACACAGGTCTTACCTACATATATGGGCAATGCTGATATTGATAATGTTCCTGACAGAGGCTTCTTTAAACAGACTTATTAAAAGGAAAAAGGGATTAGGTTACAGAAATCTTGTCGGTATTTTAACCATTAGGATCCAGTTTATCTCTGAATTTGTTAGAGTGGACTTTTTAAAATTTTCCTTGGTAACAACCCTTTGTACCAGTGACTTAGCTATCCATTTTTTAGGTAAGAGAACAATATGCAGCTGTTCTGAACTTGCACTATTTTTCAAACTACCCAAATTATCTCCTTCCCAGGCACCAGGAAAACCATAACACTGAGCCCTAGTGCTTGACCCAGCTGGGTCAAACAGGGTGTGCTGCTCTGAAGTCACATGTGCGCACATGACACATGGACATGCAGCATAGAGACACTCTGTCCAGCAGCAACCCATATAGCCCAGAAAGAGAGAACCAGTCTATCATCGTCCCATTGCCTGCCTGCCTGCCTGGAAATAAGCTACTGCTGGTTTCTTGTGTGAATTCCTGTGGAGAGGCTGAATTTGGGTGGGTAGATTAACGTATGTGGCCTTCAAAAGAAAAGCAGGTGCTGGAGGTAACATCAAAGACATGTGTTTCTGCTTGCACACACACTACTGTGCTTATGTTCACACACAAATGATGTGAAGACAAAAAGTACTAGCAGTATGTTGTTTCAGGTTGTCTCTATGTGTGCACAATGCTCACTGTGTGTGCAATCTGTGTGTGCAATCTGTGCATACCCTTGATTTCTAATTATGTTGAGATTTAAATACAGCAAGCATCCCTAAGCAGTAACAACCATGCACAGCTAAACTCAGCAAGTAATCACCACTGTAATATTCAAGTTATTTCCCCCAAATTCTTGCTGATGGCTTATTTTGTTTTGGTTGACTCGGGGAGGTTTTGCCTTCAGGGCTCTTGTTTATTCATGTTCCAGCACTTTGTGTGTTGCCTTCTCTTGTTTTAGCTCTTTTGTCTGTGGAAAATTCAGAGTACATTTAAAAATACAAAAATTTGTGTTGGGTGGCCTGCTAACCGTAGGGCTATGTATGTACAGTGCATTCTTTTCATGCTATTGTGCAATGTTGATTCAGTCCACAGTCCATTTTGCTTATAGTCATGCTTGAGCTTGGCTTTTTTTTTTTTTCCAGTTGTTGCAGTTTTCCTTTGGCAATTCAAGTGTAATCTCCAGCCACTGAGAAGGTAATGATTGCATTATGATTGAAAGGGTTGTCTTGTGAGAGATAAAAACCAACCAACCAACCCAGAGCCAGGCAGTTTCTTCTCAAATGTCTTCCAATTAAAATAGCAATAGCCCAGAGCAAACAGTTTCTTCTGAGAGGCTATAGCTGAGGTTACCAGATCTGGACTGCAAAACCTTGATGACCATTAGATGGCAGCAAGGAGTTAGAGTGTTCTGTATCTCTTTGCTACTATCTACTGGTTGTCCTGATTTTGCAGGCAAGAAGTCTGTTCTGAATCCCATTGTTTCCTCTTTACAGAACATCCAGAACCAATCCCAGTTCCAGATTATCTGATCTCAGAATAGGAAATCTGGATTTAGTTTGTCAGCCTGGAATGGGAATGACAGAACTCTGAGGATGAAGAATTCTTTATGTTCAAAACAAAGTGGGTTTTTCATTTAATTAACTTTTTCATTTTTTCCTTTTCCATGTTCATACAGTTCATAAGCTGTATCAATTGATTTTGCACATATATCAAAGAAGAGGAACCAGAGCTAAAGAAGTAATTAAAGAAAAACAGTACATTTCATGGAAGTTTGAAAGGACAGTTTTGCTTGCTTGTTTCCTTGGATCATATGTAGATTTGTTAAATCTGAAGAAGAATGTTTTGGAAAGTATTACTGTAGTTCTTCTTTTACTGTTTACAACAAAATACACTTTAGGTAAGATGAGACAAATTTTCTTGCCCATAGTTCATTGCTGATTCAAATTCATTGAAGCTAATATGGCCATCAGAATCCTGATCAACCTCCCTATAAAAGAAAAACATTTTAGATACTTTAATTAATAAAATAGATCTATGATATTCTATAGCATGAAAATATGTGCTTCTGTAAGGCAAAGACTGATACCTAATTGACAAATATCTGAGGCGAGCACTTCAAATGTGCAAAAGGACTTGTACAATTAAACTGTTTCTTTCCTTTTGTCCCCCAGAATGCCTTCACATCTATTCCAGATCATAATCTTCTGAAACTGATTTAGTGGGTATTTGGAAACTGCTGGCAGGGGAGAGGAATTCATTCTTCCAGAAGTGCTGGTTCCAAGGTAGATAGACGCTTCCAGATAAAACCCAATGAATCCTATACTCTTAAAAATACATTGTGCTGTGTACATTGTCAAATGCCCAGGTAATGAATACTGTATATGATCTAGACTCAGTATAGTACATATAAAATTTGTAACTTTTAAAATATAGCTCTTCATATATAGCAAGTAATTATACAGAAAAAACTAAAAACTGGGCATCTGAAAGCAAAGACTGTTAAGACTGTTCATGCAATTTTCAGAAGCTACCTTAATCAGTCATGTTAAATTTTCAACACCCAACCTGGCAATCTGGCACTTAAAAAATACAGGAATGGTATTTTAACATAGATTAAGAACTGATGATGCATTGATAGGACAATGATGACATATTCCTGAATATAAAGTTATTTGACTATCCTCTACTACAATTTTTAATTGCTATAGTGATAGTGCCCAATAAAAGTCAAAATAGATCAGCAGCAGGACAGAAGCAGAGCCAACAGTGATACCATTCTAATGTTTTATCTTTTTTGGTGTGCTATATTATATGAGCAGAAAAGCAACACTACTGTCAATCTCTTGATTTCAAGTATATTTCTTTTTTTAAGCAATAAAAATAATAATAAAGTTTTCATCTGTGTTCTGCAGAAATTCTCAAACTTTGGGGAACCGCAAGTACAGACAAAATGAGGAGTAAAGCCCAGAACAATGTTGACAGCACAACTGTCACTCCTGAGTGTGCAAGCCTGATTATACTTTTAACAGATATTTTAAAGCACAACAAAGAATAAACAAATTAGCAAACTAACAAAAAAGATTGTTAGATAATATTGTTAAAGAAAAATAATGTAACATTAGAACATGTCTTTTAAAAGGTAACAATTACATCTGTTTGCCTTGTAAGCTGTCCTGCTTTTGCTCATTGTTGATTGTTCGTGAAACCAATTTTTTTGTTGCAGCTGTGTATTTTCTTTATTCTGAATTATTATATTGATGTTTGTAACTGTATTCACCACCCAGAGTTCTTACTTGGACAGCCACATAAATTGAATAAAATATAAAAAAATAAATAAAAACTGAATTTGTGAGTTTCCAAGTACTATCTAGTACAAATGAATAACCATAATGAAAATGACATGTTTCATTTAAACATATGTTTGAAGTAGGCGAAATATTTATCTCTTTGATTCAGTAAATATAAATCAGTAGACTAGAATAACTGCTGTTTATTATTCATCAACTTTTCCTAGTAATTTTTAAAACTATTTATTTTGTGGCATTCAGCACCTAAGGCTAATCTTTTACTAGAATGGTAGAAGTAATTAGTATCACAACTTAACTCACTGCAGAATATAAATTACCCTCTTATTAAATTAGGTAATTAAAGACTCCTGAAACTCTCCCCACCCCCCTGGCTGCATAAAGCCACCTCTCCAGCTGGAATTTTAAAATCTCAGTGTATTGTGTAAGCAGCATGAAAAAGAATTATTTTTGGTATGCTCTCTCCAGTTTCTTGATTAATTAAAAAACATATATTATAAATGCTGCAATTGTGTCCCCTCCAATTAATAGACATCATTTCTGATGCAACCCGTTCTCCCACTCAGTTTTCAGTGCTCTATTTCCAGACGTTTTGGATATCTGAGACATTTCATTAGCTGCTGGTCTACTGGATAATTCACTGGTACCTGGAAATCTGAGCCAAACGGCCGGAATTGGCAGGAACAGAACTAGAGTATTCTATGCATACAGAGCAGATCACAGAACTTGCCTACTACCAAGTCAGATCACTGGTCACCAAACTCAGTATTGTTTGATGAAAGCAGTTTCAAGCATGAATCTTTCCCAGTCCTACTTGGAGAAGCTGGAAAATTCAAACTGTAATCTCCTCCCTGCACAGCTGCAGCTGATCTTAGAGTAAAATATAGGGAATGTATCCAGTTTGCATCCATCATTTTGGTTGTTTTCACTCACTGGACAGAATAAACATCACTGAGCTGCATGTAAGGGTTCCTATGTTTTAGAGTGAAATTAGCACTACTGGCAGAAGGTTGCATTTCTTGAAAATGTTGAAAAGAGAATGTTCCGCTTTGCTGCTTTTTTCAGTTTTGGCTGTCTCCTGTAGCTGCTGTTCTAGGGTTTTCTTTCTTTCTTTCTTTCTTTCTTTCTTTCTTTCTTTCTTTCTTTCTTTCTTT